ATTCGGCGGTGCTCATTCGGCCCGAATGCTCTAGTCTGGACGCACCTTTAGAAAAATGAAGTATTTGACATGGTAGACATTTTTATTTATTTACCATTGGCGTGCAGTGTTGGGGGGTAAAAAGGGGTTGTTTTAAACTTTTAACATTTTTTATCGCATTTTTCATTAGAAATTGGAAATGTTGAAAACATCAGATTTTTTAAAAAATATTGGTTACCAAAACCTAAACAACTTATTAGAAAAAGTGAATTGAAACAAATGTACTACTTATTTTTTTTTGCTAAAATCAGGTTTTGAAATTTTGAAAATATAAATTAAGGGGTTTTTGAGGGTGCTGATTCTAAATCTGATACAAAAAATTATCTAAAATAAGCCCTAATATCTTTTTCCCAAAAAACAACCCCTTTTTATGCCCCAACACCGCACGCCAATGAATAATAGATCAAAATGTTTAATGTCACATACTTCATTTTTCCATCATACAATCACCTCCAAAATTTGAATTCAATCGCAATATTATTAACTGAGATATCGGGGTGTATTCATTAAAAGTGGTTCACACTGTAGATTAAATTAAGAAAATTTTTGTCTTTTTTTTTCCACCACATCTATTTATACAGGGTGTCCCACAACGTTTGACCCAGGTGATAATTCCTGAACGTGTCACCCAATATAATTGAAATTTTGAGGATCTAGGTAATTTTTTTTGCCGCTTCTTCATGTCTCATCTAATTTCATCACTGAACAGTATCGATCAAGTGACGGCAACTTTAGAATCTTTAATGGTACTTACGGTATATTATTGGCCGTTTCCACCAACTATTTTAGGGGAGCCCTAGCGATAAGTATTCCCTAAAATGACATTTTTACATGGAGTTTAAGGCATACCTATTGTTAGGGCTTCCCTAAAATAGTTGCTGGAAATGGCCATATGACATTTTCGATAGGATATCGGCAATGCAAGGACATTATTTATGTTAAAGTTATTGGAAAAAATTATACAAAGAGGAAATAAAAATAGTATATTGTTTTATTAGGAGGAGTAAAAATAATACTTTTGTGACGAGTCTGTAAGTTTTCTTGCCGAACGCAATGAGACCGGCAATAACAGACGAGAAACATTTTCTACAATTCGCAAAGGGGTGTGGAGCTAGCCCTGTAAGTCGGGTGCTAGGTAGTGCTTAAGTGTATAGTGGACAGTGCCAAAGTTTAAACAGAAATATGAAAACGGAGGGGGAGAAGGGCTCGCATTACATTAGGTCTGTTCGTAGAAGAATCACAAATCAGTCAGAGCAAATTTCATTGACTGAAAACAATAAGAAATAGTTTTCTGCATTGCAATTGGTTTGTGATTACTCTACGAACAGACCAATTAGCACCTCCCGGTAAAAGTTTTCTACAATTCGCTGGACGGTGTGGTGCAAACCGTGTAAGTTGGGTGCTAGGTAGTGCTAGGTAGGTGCCATAGGGTGCTAAAAAATTGAACCCCTTGGAAAAACGATGGGGGCTCACGTTGAATTAACCCCCCACCCCGGTGAAAATTTTCTATAACTCGCAGGGGAGTGTGGTGCTAGCTCTGTAAGTTGGGTGCTAAGTAGTGCTAGGTGGGTGCAATAGAGTGCTAAAAAATTGGACCTATTGAAGGAACGGTGGGTAGGGCTCGCGTTACATTAGCCCCCCCCCCGACCCGGTGAAAATCTCCTATAACTCACTTGGGAGTGTGGTGCTAGCCCTGTAAGTTGGGTGCTAAGTAGTGCTAGGTGGGTGCAATAGAGCGCTAAAAAATTGGATCTATTTGAAAAACGGGGGGGACTCGCGTTACATTAGCTTTCCCCGGTGAAAATGTCCTATAACTCGCTGGGGGATGTGGTGCTAGCTCTATAAGTTGGGTGCTAGGTGGGTGCAATAGGGTGCTAAAAAATTGTACCTATTGGAAAAACGGGGGGGGCTCGCGTTACATTAGCCCCCCCACCCCGGTGAAAATGTCCTATAACTCGCTGAGGGATGTGGTGCTAGCTCTATAAGTTGAGTGCTAGGTGGGTGCAATAGGGTGCTAAAAAATTGGACCTGTTGGAAAACCGGGAAGGAGGGGGGTCCCGTTACATTAGCCCCCCCCCTCCACCGGTGAAAATGTCCTATAACGCGAAGGGGGGTGTGGTTCTAGGCCTGTAAGTTGGGTGGTGCTAGGTGGGTGCAATAGGGTGCTAAAAAATTGGACCTGTTGGAAAACCGGGGGGGGAGGGGCTCGCGTTACATTAGCCCCCCCCAGTGAAAATGTTCTATAACTCGCTGGAGGGTGTGGTGCTAGCCCTGTAAATTGGGTGCTAGGTGGTGCTAGGTGGTACTAGGTGGGTGCAATCGGGTGCTAAAATATTGAGCCTATTGGGAAACCGGGGGGAGGAGCTAGTGTAACGGACCCATCGGGGAATGGTTGCAGATTGCGGGTTCGGTAAAAAGTAAAAGCTGAGCTACTCTTGATGGCTTTTCAGTTCGGTTAATAAGCCGTCTTCCAGTTCCATTCTGTACGAATATACATACATACTTTGAAGGTAGGTACATACCTTACTAATAATTCTTGTTGAGAGCAACATAAATTAATTTATCAAAAACGATGTATTTCGATTTTACCAGTCATTTGCACCATATGGAATTATTAACTGATAAATAAAAAAAAAGGCTGTTGATTTTATTTTCTATCAATGGACGCACGCCATGCTACAAAAAGCAATGTCGTTCATGCTATTAGAGTGAGATAGATAAAAGGGAAATAAATGAAGGAGTGTGTATTTTATGAAAAGGTTTTTTATCTATGCGGTTATCATTACTCTTTACATGAAATCGCTCCTCGTGAAACATATAAATATTTTGCGATGGCTATTTTGGTCGGTTAAGATTACAAATTAAATATAAAAAAACTAAGAGTAATTTCAATATTTTGGCACAAAAATTAAAAAGCCTTTTGTGCAAACCCAATACCCAAACATAAGAAATATGGTATTTACCTTTCAAATTGCTGAATGACATTTTTCTGGATTATTACCATGGTACTTGGTCTGGCCATAGCTAATATATCATCCGTTATCCTAAATGCGATAAAAACATGTTAAATATGTTGTTAAAATAAAATAAAATAATATATATTTAGGTGCTATTCCAAAACTATGACCAACTTGATTAGGTGTATTTAATTCATTTTATTTTTTTCAACATCTACCTATTTGTAGACACCTAATATTAGAATGGAATTGATGGCGTCGATGAGAAATATGAGAATAATGTTATTACATACATATAGTAACCCTAAGTTGATTCTTATAATTTAATGTTCCAGAGGTCAAGATCAAGAGCTACACAAACACTATTCGACATAATGGATCATGAAGGGTTACCACATTATTTCCAGTGTTTTCTTAGTTTATATGAGCAATAAAACAAGAAACGGGCCAATTTTTATTTTTAGGAGGTGAGAAGCTTAAAATCCTAAATAGCAAGCAGGTTGGTATTTTCAATAGGATTTGAACCCATGCACACATTTTGTGTCCCAACACTCTCAACCAAAATCGCAAGGAAACTTTGGTATTCTTGAACAAGTAATTTTTTCATTCGACAAGGGAAACGACATCAGAAATATATTATTGTGTTAAAAAAAAAATTAAAGAAATATTACGAGAATAATAATAAAGCTTATGAGATGATGTTACAGTAGCAATGAATTAGAAAATTTTGATGTCTGTGATTTATACACATATCAAAAGGTTCTACGGGACAATAAATGGTTCAATAAATAATACCCACATGTTATTTTGAGTTATTTATGTCATTAGGCTAAGAAGTGGGTCTTTTTGTGCTGAGCTTAACGTTTGAGCAAAGCACAAAAAGACCTTCGGCAAAGTTTCCCATTGGGGCCGAATGGCATACATTTTATCTTCAAAGTACTGCAATATTTCCTTTCCCAACTTAATAACTGCTGTTTTCATCCATTTTTGGAAGTATAAACAGCTGCCACTATAAATTCACAACGTACCTAGATCACACCAATTTGTTTACTTTAAATATCAAATCAATATCGGAACATATTTTATTGCCCCGAGGATGGAAGCTCGTGTAAGCGAGCAGACACATCAACTTGGTAATCCGTATTTATTTATGCTCGTACTTTATTTATGCAATAATTTAGTTCATATTATCGAACAAAAAATGGGAAATGAGCAAATTAGTGCACATTATAAATAAATTACGCTCTTGGAGCTAATGTACGAGGTCGTTGACGCTGCCATCTATCGAGAAAAAAACGAACAAATTACCCGATGCAAAAAAAAATCATTACGGTCCTAGGAACATAATGGATCACTTATGTGTCAAGTGTTGACGACAATGAAGTTCACTTGAAGATAAAAATTGTTTTGTCTTAAAATTAAAAGACAAAAATATTTCTTGTCCCCTAGACCATTTTGATGTGTGTATAAAAATAATAAATTTCGTTTTTTATAAGAATGAAAAGAAATAATTTAACTAAACTATTTTTTGAGTTTTGACAAGATAACTACCATTTTGCCTGAAAATATAATGAAAATTGATTATGATAAATGCCATTCGTAGTATAATCAGGTAAATGTCATTAATCACTATTTGACAACCTTGAAATATTTTCCTTTTTCAATTTTTAATCGAGAATCCAAAGTGCTTATGGATGTATTGAAATGGCTTACTTTGGATCAAGTATTTATTGTCATAAGTAGTTATAATTCCTACAAACCCTAAATGTTCTAATCCTGTAAATTGAAAAAAATGTGAAGCAATTCTAGAGATCATGATTTAATCGTTCAATAGAAGTTCCTGAAATGTCGAAACATTACCCTTATAATTTCAATACAGAAAAGCGTGTAACATTGCGTGTTATTGTTTATACATACTGCAGTTACTTGTTGAAGTAGGTATTTGCGTGCGTCATTTGGAGGGGTAAAAGTTAAAAATAGAAAAAAGTGTATTGTTAAACTTACCAATTAGAATAAATTCCTTGTATCGCCAGACTATCAGCTTTCCAATTTTCCGGTTTTTCATATTTACAGTTGGCACCCCCACAGAAAACACTACATTGTATTCCATGGGGAGTAAGCCTTCTTATATGGTCCGAAAATTTATTATAATTCGCCTGTACCGTTTCCCCGTTTCCATTATGTTTTAATTCTGCCAAACTCATTCTGGAAAAAAAAACTTTGCGTCGTGCGTGGAAAATAACATTTGGAGCGTCGAAACTCTATCGACGAAGAAAATTATTCAAACTACCAGAAAAACAACGCATTCGAGCCAGGAATTTAGTTTTTGAATGTGGCGCATGCTTCTGTTTGTTCGATAATATCTTAACGATAGCGAATGACCGCTTTTTTATGTTATGCAGAAGAATTATGCAGAACTTTAAAGACTTTGGTTGTGAGATTGCAATTTTATAGTTTTACGCCAGGAATTGATAATGATTGTAAAATTGAGTCATATTTTCGAAATGTTTATAAGTTATCCTGAATTTAATACTGATCAAATTCGGTAACTTTACCACTGGGTGATTTACTCTGACTTTAATATTTATATTTGCTGCAATGAAAATTGTTCGGGTTTGAAAAAAAAATATATATTTTTGTCCGTGGTTTTACAAACTGGCCCCAATCCCAGAAATTTCACGGGGGGCTGTTCCTGTTCCAGAGATTAATACATGCGTTTTCAATTTTAAAATACTCTTTTCTTTTTTAGTAATCGGATCAAAGGATCCACACTTATGGGATTTTGGTTAAACGCGGAATTTAACCAAATTTTGGTATGTTATATATTTCGACCTCCTGAGTAAAAATTTCTTGTGGGTACAAACCAATTTTATGAATAGGTCCGGATATACGGGGGTTTTTCTAATACTACCTAAAGCAACCTGAAACTACTGGATTTTCATGCTTTTTGCATTTATTTGTGGAAGGTAGCTTTAAAAAATTTTGATTAAGTTTGGACCTATTACGGAAAGGTGCATAGTTTAAGTTAGATGCTAGGGTATTTTAAAAAGTACTTGTTTGATGGAACTTTGTAATAAAATAGATACCTACGTCATAGTATTTTATGACATATTATGTGAATGTATATCGAGGATGAAACCAGACTTGATAGTTTAAGAATTAAAATAAATATGTGATCAAGTTTGAACCTATATTATGAAAACATGCATATTTTCATTTACCCATACCTATTTATGTCGAGGGAGTTTTAAATAGCAGATATACCATGGCTTTCTAGATTTTTCAAACAAATCACCAAGTCAGGTATCTCCTCAATTGTAATTTGTATACCTAGGTATAATACCTATACACATACCTTAGGCAAATTGATCATGAGGCAAAAAGCTTTTGGCGCGAGCGTATCGAAAACTGTAATTCATTGAGGGATAGAAAGTCTCTTCTATCACAAAACGTAGGTACCTACAAGTACACAATATTTCACACTTTCGAACAAAAAGAGTAGTGATTTTTGTCAATTTTTGATTGCAGTCTCTACACGGTTGAGTGTGCCACTTTGAAAATAGCTATAAATGTTAGCTACTACTTCTAGCAGTCAACAAAAATTAGTTTCGGACTGACTGTCTCAAAAAAATTAAAAACCCTAAAAACCCTAAAAAAGTCGTTATTTTTGTCAATTTTTGATTGTAGTCTCTAGACGGTTGAGTGTGCCACTTCAAAAATAGTTATAAATGTTAGCTACTACTCCTAGCAATTCACAAAAATTAATTTTGTTTAATGCCCCGCCATTTGAGAGTTTCAAAAAATTAAAACCCCCAAAAAAGTCGTGATTTTTGATTGTAGTCTCTAGACAGTTGACTGTGCCATTTCAAAAATAGTTATAAATGTTAGCTACTACTCCTAACAATCCACAAAAATTAATTTTGTGTAATGCCCCGTCATCTGAGTGTCTCAAAAAAATTAATACAAAAGTAATATTGTTGTTAGCTACTACTCCTAGCAGTCCCACAAAAATTAATTTTGTGTAATGCTCTGTCGTCTAAGTGTCTCAAAAAAATTGAAAACTCCAAAAAAGTCGGGATTTTTGTAAATTTTCGATTGTAGTCTCTACACGGTTGAGTGTGCTACTTCAAAAATAGATAAAAATGTTAGCCACTACTCCTAGCAATCCATAAAAATTAATTTTGTGTAATGCCCCGCCCTCTGAGTGGCTCAAAAAAATTAAAAACCCTAAAAAAGTCGTGATTTTTGTCAATTTTCGATTGTAGTCTACACGGTTGTGTGTGCCACTTTGAAAATGGCTATAAATGTTAGCTAGCAATCCACAAAAAAATATTTTTTTCTAATTTTGACATTTAAAGTGACACTTTTCAAAACTCGTTGACGTTATCAAATGCCTTACTTTTCATCACCATTTCATTCCTACTAATCTAATTTTTTTTTAAATCGATATCCTCAATTAATCATAAGTGAATTCAGGGGCGGATTAGGCCTTTTTTCGCCCCTGTGCAATTAAAATTATTTCGCCCCCTTCCAGGCTCTGGTCTATATCATAATTTTTTATTTTGTCATTTGAAGATTCTTCAATACAAAAAAGAACAATACTTAGTATATTGAATTAAAAATGGTATGAGTTGATTAGTGCCAAGTCTGAAGTCACTTGTCTTTTCATCTGAAAGTGTGTTTCTTAGATAGTCTTTATTCCTCCTTAGATTGGAAAAGGACCTCTTTCCAGACGCGTTAAGGTCGGGACACACCTAGGTGCGTTCCACTTGGCGATCGCAACACTCGTAACGACCGAAAACCGTTCCACTTCACGGCCGATGTCACCGCGGTCGCTGTCGAAACGTGTTCCGTAACGCCATATTTCGCGATCACCCGGCGACAACAACGCCCGTGCTCAGGAGGTGGGTCGACGTGGTCGTTTCGCCATTTTTTCAAAACACCAAAATGCCTTCAGAATCGGTTGAGTTATTTCATGCAGAAACTGGTATAATTGTGAATGGGCAAGTGTTTAAAATCATCAATGTCCCATGTGTATTTTCACCAATGTATTGCTGTCCTTGTCATTTGACAGCAGCAAAACAAGGATAGGTTGCCCATCAGGAGGAATGCGCAAAAGCAATTGATGAATTTAAAAGCTTGTCCAACCTCCAACTCTCACCTGAAGATGCTATAGAAGGGCCAAGCACAATAATAAACAATTATTTACTCACTTTATTTATCGCTTAAATGCTTAACCTCACTTTTTATTTGACTTGACAGTCGACACGATTATGAAAATCGACTGCTAACCATTCCACTTGCATTACTAATCTGAACGAAATAAGCCTAGTGGAACAGAGAGTGGACGCGGTTGTTAGCATAGCGTTGCGATCGCCAAGTGGAACGCACCCCTAACATGCCTGAGAAGGGAATGGTACTACACTTCAAACAACGTATTTCACACCTTTACGGCACTTGCCCATTCCCACTTCCACCCGACTCTGATCCTGCAACCGATCATGGTCCGATTGTGCAATCTATTCGTTTTCCAGCTGCGGGACCACGTGTCGCTTGGTGTTTGTGCCAGTTTTTTATGGTTTCTTGCTAAAATGGCAAAAAACGACCGCTATGAGGGAAAAGTGTAGAAAACTCTGCTTCTGCAGACCATCCTTTCCAAGCAGCATGTACCCATAATCTGCGTTTTCCGCTTTTCTCCATAAAAGATCTCTGATTTTCTTCATCTACTTTTTCTAAACCAAGTGCCAGCATGACTAAATTGCAGTTGCTGAAATTTTTAAATATTTTGCGCTACCTTCTGCGCTATTAATTGAATCAAGAATGGTAAGTGGCAAGGGTTACAAGCTAGAGCCAAAAAGCGGAAAAAAAAAAACGAAACGAGTATGACATGTATGCTCACTCTTTTCCGATCCGGCACCGATCCGATTCTTAGGGCAACATCGGACCGGAGTCGGATCGGAGGGGTGTATGACAAGTGTGTCCCAGTCTTAAGTCGATGGAAGGCAAACATACTTCTCAAGGGTGCCTCGATATTGAAAAATGTCGAGATTAGTTTTTCATACTTTAAACTTTGTAGAAGTTCTCCCAAATTTAAGGTGCCATCGTGACCACTAGAAATCAGAAAATATTTATAGTGAACACATTCCTGAGAAAAATAATCGACCAGATCGTTTTTATATGTTTCCTTGAGTCACTGCGCTTTTGTTCTTATTTCTTCGTCAGATAATCGGCCTGTTCGGATTTGAAAAACGGACGGTTCTAGAACGGTTCAAAACAGTCGTACAGTTTATTATTGAAGTTTGTGATAGCCAAGCCGTTGTCATTTTGTTGATTGATAAACTGTACGATTGTTTTGAACTATTTTAGAACCGTCTTTTTTTCATACCCGAATAAAGCTATCTTCATGACAAATTTATACAAAAATCCAGTTCCAATGTCAAAATTTTGTCATATTATGACCGTGTTCGTTTTTGCCATCATTTTCGTCGATTTGCTCCGAAACTTTGACAGGCACGTGACTGGATCATGACTGGATCAGACAGTTCCAATTTACAAATCACGTGCTGTCAAAATTTCGGACCAAATCGACTCTGAAATCGACGAAAAAGATGACAAAAACAAACACGGCTTATGTGTAAGAAGTAAAGTTTTTGTCATTTTGCTGTCTGACTTGATTTTTTCCCTCTTATTTTTCTTGGGATTTATTTAAAATTTTTCGGTCCCTTTGACTTTTCGCCCCTGGGTAATCGCCCAATTGCGCCTTATGGTTAATCCGGCCTTGAGTGAATTATATATACGTTTTCTGTTTTTTATTTATTTTATAAAAATTGATAAATTACCTACCCCAAACTTTTTTTTGTGGTTTTTTAAAGTCAGTTGGCTCATTACGACATAACGGCCCCCCCCCCCCCCCCCCCCAATACCAAAGCCTTCGGAACGCCCCTGCCACCATCAGTTGCACAAAATACAGGAAGAAAATCTGTGATACTTTTAGGGCTGAACTACTCGGAGTACTTTGTTGTTATTATATTCTTTGTACGGACATATTAGGAAGATTTAATTTTATTTAAATTATTTACCTACATAATATGACAATGTATGAAAAAAAAAACTAATTAGTTATAAATATTAATACTGAAAACAATTTGAACAATTATTGATGATATTGACAACAGTTTTCTGTGTAGCATTAATTAAATGAATAAATTGAATGTTTTTTTCATGGAAGTCTCTCTAAGGATGT